GTTAGCAGAATTCTAGGTGGGACTTGCTGCTCAAAGAATATTAATAAATACAATTTCAATGTTTAAATTTTAATACATATACAAATCAGCACTTACATTCAATTCTATATAAGGTCGGTATTTGTATTTACAAATATTATGATATTTGATTGAAACGTAATTAATTGCACATGTTATATGAGAAGCTATACATGATGTATCCATGGACAGTTATATCTGCTTAAATCAATATTTCCTATTGTGTGAAATAGATACATATTAACAAATAATAGGAGACTCAGAAATGAAAGAAACTATAATTACTTGATGACGAATTATAAATGTCGACCTAAATTTCGACTCGAAATATCTCCTTATTCTCAGTAAGTTCGTCAAATGAGTCTTTAAGGTCGGAAACACTATGTATAATAAGTGATTTCACGCACCTCGAAATATCTAATATATTATTGCCTACGTTTAAGCGTTTCGCGTGTTTCATCTTTCGTCTTAGCTTTCTGATTCAGCATCCTGCTCCTGACTCCTTCGTTGTAGAGTACCGGGCACTCACTCGTTATCACCGGGCACTGACATTTACGTAGATACGATACGATCGGAAAAATTCGTTTTAATTAATACCGATAACGACGAGAGATTATTTGAATACGTCAAAAGTCAAGGAAAGTTTTAATCAATCGAAAAGAATTGTAACTAATGCTACTATAATATACATACTCCACGTCGCGCATGAGCTCAGAACAGGAAAAAAGATTAGCTGCAGTAACTAGAATTAGATTAACTTGTTATAAAATTGTAGACTGTATAGATAGCGTAAGCAATTTTAATTGCTACAGTAGCATTCTCTTTTGCTACTGCAGCAAGACTTTTTTATTGTAGTAATTAAACTTGCTTATGCTGCTAAAAAAAATTAAAATTGCTTATACTGATAAAGTTTTAAGTATCTATATGTTGCAATAAATTTAGCTATTAAAGCTAACCTTTTTTCATGTAAAAATAGCAAAATAATGACTTCATCTTCTCTTATCAATCTTTAACCGTTGTTGCCCAACATTGAACAGCCGAGTGATCATAATAACCTGCACTAACCAAATATTCTATATCTTCGAAGCGATCGAACAAGGAAAAAATATCTTGCCGGCACAGCAAAGTCAGTTGTCAGATATTATGGACAGCGAAAAAGATTTGTTTGAACATGTTATTAGCCTTTGGAATATTGAATCGGACTCTCGTAGATATCACGTTAATTAATATGGATATCTTCGAATTACAAACCAGTCGTAGCAACCAAAAGTGAGAATATACACTCAGAGAAAGAATTAGCCATAGGAGCTAAAATAAGGACAGTTAATGCTGTACTACCGCAGTTAAATTTATCAACTGTCCGAATTAAGACGCTAGCGAATATAATTGTACCTTGCAGCAAATACATTTTACCTTTAATAGCTAATGTCGTAATGTATTATCGCAGCTATTAAACTTAATTACATTAACAACGATATTAGCTGTTCCTATTTTAGCTGCCACAGATAGATTTTAGCTCTTATAGCTAATTCTTTCTCTGAATGCGGGATTAGAAAGCCAGGATGGAGGCCGCAAAATATCAGAAACAGTGATAAATCATTTAATTACCAGATATGTCATACAAATTATTTATTATACAGGCTACTAATTTTAATAGATATTCGACAAACTGAGAATAACGAAATATCTGGCTCGAGATTGACAATTATAACACAGTAATTATTTAATAAATAATCATGACTTTATAACTTTATAAATATCTAATTATTCATCAGCTTCTATTTATTTCATACAAATATAAATAAATTTATTTAATCCAAATGGTCTATGAATATGAATTTGCAATTAACTATATTAGTAATTCAAAATGGAAAACAATTTACAATTATACGGAAAAAAAGTTTGGTTAAATTTATTAGATAGTGAACAACCTAACCAAACACGTGTTTCCTTCAATCAAAATGCGTTTAGTTTGTTCACTGTCTGGTAAATTCAACCAAATTTTTTTCCATGTAGTTATAAATAGTTTTCAATATTCGATTATAAACACAATTAATTGCAAACATTTTTTCTGTGTACGAATACTGGCCTTAAAATTTAATTTATGTCTCGTAAAGACTGATTTATGTGTCTAATAATATTCCTCGAATTGTAAGTTCCACCTTGAATCTGCCAACACTTTCTTTTCACTCCTGTTTAACTTTGTTAAAAAGTTAAATTTAAATAACTTTTAAGTTATACAGTATTATTAAACACACATTTGATATCTGTATCTTTACAATTCCTTCCTCCTCACTCCTTTTAAATCTACAAATCTTATCCAGATTTCTAACGGCGATAATAAAATAAAAAAAGTGGATAAATAAAGTTTGTTTTACTTTCTTATTAAAGTTTTATTAATCCCAGCAGAGTATTCTAAGAATATAAATCGTTGTGTGCATTTGATATGAAACGTTGCGGCGTTGTTTCCCGTTGGAACGAAGGCTGAGGCATTGAGAGATTAGAAGAAAGAAAGATGCGCAAAGAAACGCACTCGGGAATGATAAAGATCATAATCTATCGGCGAATCGCGGATGAATCACGAGGCGATCGAGTAATCCACGCGGACGATTCCGTCCGCCTAAACGCTAAGATTTATGGATCTAATATGACCGGTATTAATTCATAAATCCAGACGGTATTACCATCCGCGAAACCCGCGATTCATAAATCCCGAGATTTATGTGCGCGTTGCCGAGCGCGGAAACGTTTGCACTTTGTGCGTGCATATGACTGTCTTTGGAAACATAATATCAGCCGAGGCAAATTACAGAACTCTAGACCTTTTACGCAGCAAAGAGAAAAAAAAAAGAGTCAAGATACTCCGCCTTCCTGTTGGACATAAATCTGCTTTAGTATAACACGAACAGATATTTCAATAAGCGGATAGGAAGGCGTTAAATAATAATGTGGCGGCACGGTGTTTCGTTTCGGAAAAAAACACGCTAGAATCCACGCACAGTCGATTACTAGATCTCCGATTCCAAGATTACGGTGGGTTTTAACGGCGCTACAATTTTTTCTTCTTTCAATGAAAGATACAGAAGCCGATAACGAACACCGAGTGAATCGCACGACGACCGAATTTGACCGCGAGCTGAATTCGCGAGGAAACGCGTATCGTTGCGACGCGATCACGCTGGATTATCTGAATTACCGGCGCGAGACTTTATCGCGCGTTGGCACGAGCACACCGAACAACTAGTAAGTAGATCGATATCGCGGCCGCTTTAATGATTCAATACGCGAACGAACGAGACGAGGCGGATCGATGATGCGCCCGGGGATCGCGATCCCACGAAATCCCGACAACGCGCGGCCAACCGATTTCTGCATTTTTCCTCTCGCGAAAGTCCGCGGCGACGATCTCCGCCCGACGAGGAGGAGGAGGACGTTGTTGCTAGAGGAGGAGGAGGAAGAGGTGGTGATGGTGGTGGAGGAGGAGGCACACGGGTTCGCTTTTGCCTGAGCGTACCCGTTCGTTCACCCTAGCGGGGGCACCAACCTGGCTTTACTTCAGTTACACGCCCGGAGAGTCGGCGCACTGTATATATAAAGGTATGTATATACAATACATTCCCGCGTACATACATGCTATGTATAAAGCCGCACGAACATAAAAATACGTATGTGCAAAAATATAGTTACCAAGCGCGCCCGGAAATTCGTGGCTGAAAGTGGAAAAAGTCGGCGAAAAACCGAGTGACGAAAGTGCTCGTCTGTGCTTTTTATCCGGGGTCGTGCTTTTTCAACGACGAGAGTTTAAAGACCGGCTTTATAGAGCGCACCTAAATACCGTGCCGGTACCTCCGCGGGGATTTCGCGACGACGGTACGCGACGACTCGCCACTCTTTTGTCTAACGTCGGCGATCGCGCGGATTACGCGAGTACCAACACCATCATCGTGCGCGGAGAGACTAACACACGGACGACTCTTTAAGCACAGCTCGGCCGATTGGCCGTAAACTTCAAGCCCCTGTGTATTCAAAAAAAAAAAAAAAAAGGGAAAAAAGAACAACCATAAGGCCACGCGGGAAGAAAAAAAAACTTACGAGCGCTCTCTCGTTGCTCCGCTCTTTTTTTTTCCTTTTTTTTTCAAGGATTCTTCCACCACGGTGTCTCCACGCGCGAGTGTTTCCGGACACCCTGTATAAAGATATATAATACATTCTCGCGTGTACTTACACCTAGTAGAGGTGGGTACACGGGGAGCGTACTGAGAGTGTCCCGGTCGAGCACGACGCGGTTCCACGGCCCTTCGCGAGAGCGAGAGAAAGAGCGAGAGAAAGAGCAAGGCGGGGTACCGACTCCGCCGGTCCGTTCCAAAGAAACTGGAGAGAAAGAGGGAGTGAGGGGGAGGGGGAGAGATAGAAAGAGAGAGAGAGAGAGGAGAACACAGAAAGAAGAGAAGAGAAAGAAAGACAGGAGATCGCGAAGGAAAGGGAAAAGGACGGCCGGCGGGCCCTTTTGTTCGAGTGCTCTGGACAGAGCGCGGCAAGTCGCTCTTCTCCTCGAAAGAGGCCCTCGACGTACGTAGGAATGAAGACATTACTGTCCGCGGTACCACTCTGTCGACTGTTTCCAGCCTGGACGAGAGGAGGCTTCCGCGGCTTCGCGCCCCGAAGTGGCGGTGCGACGGACTCTGCCGCAACAACGTCGAATTCGCTGCTCGAGCGATTTCCAGCGTCACGGATGGAATTTGCACCGCTTAGCTCGACATCAGCTTAGCCGATCGCACGTCGCCGGGTTCTTGACCCAAGTCAGCCTAAGCACCGGCGAGCGGACGGTCGATTTCAAAATGCTGACCGTTCGCTGAACGACGGAGTCGCGAGGAAGACGAACTTTTGCGGAGTAAGGACGATCGGAGATAAATACGGTGCTCCGCGGCATGTCGGTGAGGAATAATCAGAAATACAAAAATAGATATTTATTAATTTGATACGCTGTATGATATAATCGCGATACAGATAATAATTTTTAAATTTCAACGAGCCTACACGAAATATTGTGACTAAGGCATATTACTATGATTATACGTGATTTAGAAATAAATATGTTTGACCACATGGAAAATTATTCAGTAAATTGTACAAACGTAGGACGTAGATTATGGATAGCGAGTTATATTCGTCGCATTGACCATCCTGATGGACACGGGAGGGCTCACCAAATCAGTCGGGCTGGATCTCTGCGGATGATGGGTGTAACTGACTTCCATGTCGATCTCGTCAAGCTCCTCTTCTTCTTCCTCGTGGGTGTCCGACTCATCCTCCTCTTCGCCTTCGCCTTCTTCCTCCTCTTCCTCCTCTTCGTCCTCCTCCGATCCTCGATACTGAATTTTTTATACGCGCCAATAAAGTCGGTGTGTTAATTAACATATATTATTCCTCCGAAATATCTGCGATTTACGATAAGTCGCGATTCAAGTGTTTTAAAATATTACAAAATATTTAAAATATAACAAATAATTACGACGATAATCCGCGACTGTGCGTTTCGAATGTGTTGAAACATACCGACGGTGGTGTTCGCAGCTCGACTGACGATAAGAGATGCGAATACGCTATGTGGACTACGTGCACGTTCAAGTCACGCGATGGCGCGATTCGTCAGGATGTATATCATAGGCGTGACATATCTAGACCGAGCGTTTGCCTTTATTTGAGAATTAGGGGTCGAGGCGCGAGCATGTAGAGCAAGAGAGAACGCAAGGGACGCGAAACAGAGTGGATCCTTTTCTATATGCGCCTAGACTCTCACTCCTTAACGCTCGGTCTAGATATATTATTATATGTCTAAGATGTAAACTTTGTATTTATACACACATATTTCATAAGAAAAGAAAATATTTTCGGTCAAGGTTATTAGAAGTAAAAGAACAAGTACAAACAAATAACAATTCCAGACGAAACATCCGTTAACGACGAATTCGCACAAAATACTTAAGGAGGTTCCAGCGTTTGATCAAATATAAGATAAACCTGTAATATATATATATATATATATATATATATATATATATATATATATATATTATAGCTGAAGAAACTAAATATATAGCCTTCAGCGTTGAAACCTCCTTAAACACAACGCGTTTACTTCCTTTCCTTAAACGGTCGCGTTAGTTAGGTTAAGAAAATTATGTTGACTCACGTCACTCACTGTTTTCCCGATCGGAATGTTGTCGTAGCCCTGCACCCGCACGTGTTCCGCCTGAAAGAAGACGCAGGAAAAATATGACGGAAATGAGACACGCTTTAATCGCGCTTTAGTCGTACTTACCCACGCGTGATGGTCCGCCTCGAGCGCGGTGACTTCGCTTTCGTCGTCGCACGGACGATCCGCGTTGAACCACAACGGATCCGTCGCTCGTGGTCGCAAATCAGGCCACAACGGCCTAATGGCCATAACAAATGTGATAACGTGAACGTATGAGTGAGAAAAACACGACCACGATGTCACCGTTTTGACACTTCGGAGTATAACAGCTGAGTGTCACTTATGTGAGCACCACGTGCTCGCACGAATGAGATAGACGAGTTTGAGAGCGAGTAAAAGAGTGAGACGGTGCAACCTAAAATATAGATGCTGAGTGTGGTCCGTTTAACGTCGCAAATGCTCCGAGCGCCGTATAGACCAATCATGTGCTTTCGGTAAACGCTTCGAAGTATTTGTAGCGATCGTGGACCTTACCTCTATAGACAGTGATGGAAAGTGATGGAAAGTTGGGTAGATTAGATGCACATACGCGAAGAAAAAGTGAGGGTTTCAATAACGTACGCGTATATTATATACACATTAGAGAGCAAAATCATCGATGTTTACTCAGTGAGGATATGTCATACGACGACTGTCTGTTGGTTGTGCCGATTGGCTGTCGGATAGGGAATCTCTAGAGTCCCTAAGATTTTCTCTAGATGTAATACCATCCTCAGCGAACATCGATGTTTCTCAAACATATGTGAACTTTAGGTGAGATGCGGCATACAGACAAATGATGAGGTTATAGGGTTAAATATGGATAAGTCTATTAAGACACATATTTTAATTCCCTAAAAATATATATTTATATAATAGAGCAGTAAAATGCGCGGCACTTCATTTTACTCGTCCTACGTACTACCACCTTAAGACCGAAATCGTCACGCATGCGTATATAGCCTATTTAATTTTCCGTCACTGGTCTATAGTAAAAAGATATTGGCGCAATACTGCTGCCATCTCTAGGTGGAGATATATAATAACCTTTGAATCTGAGGGTAATGGGAAACGCTGATATTGCCGACAAATGTCGGTTAATTTTGACGATTAATTAACGCGATATTTTCTTCTGATTAAAAAAAAAATTGATTTAATAATTAACAACTTAATTATTAAAATATAAAACTTAATTATTAATATTCCTGCAAAATTACATATATATTTTCTTGCAAAATTAGATTTAGCTGGGAAAATGTCTCAAAAAAAGTTTGCTATTGCAGCAATTAAAATTGTTTACGCTGCTGAAGTTTTAGAGTCCATATATACAATTAACTTAGCTACTGCAACTGATCTTTTTTTCGTGCAATCTCGACGGTTCGTATCGCGAGAAGTCTACTTTCGGCAACTGCCTGATGATATTTTACCGTACAAATGCACGAAACCTACTTTCAATATTCTCGACAAAAACTCGCAAGCAAGACTCATCGTTAGCAAGCCAAAATCGCAGAAATACAGGACGACTTTCTGAATACATCTTGGCGCGCCATGATCCATCGGTAACTGAAGTGAAACGGTTAAGAATCTCGAAGTGTTCCGATACGAGCGATATTTCATGCGACAGCCTATCTAAGTAGAACATAAAGTGACGATGATATCGAAATGACATCAACATAACATGAAAATGAAGAGAAAGTTGACTATAAAAGTACATTTTTCGATTATTTTCTCATCATTTAAACGCCATTTTCGCGTCATCATCACTTCTTGTTCTACCTAGGTAACCGTCATTCCGCGAGTTTAGCCATTTTTTGCAACTTTACAACGATTGCCTGTCATAGACTTCGAGACTTAATCGCGACACTGTCGGACAACGTATCATATGTGAACCCTTCAGTCGGTCGAAAACATAACGTTTAGCAAATTGAATCTCGAGTCGCCATTACATGTACCCGGCAGTTTACCGGACACTACACAATCAAATCATGAGACACTCACCTTTGACGGCTGCTCGGCGATGCTTTACCGTCACACACGTGCGAAACTTATTTTCGGCACTCCTGACGAAAACTTGCGCGCGAGACTCACGTTGTTGGGTTAAAATCGCGAATATACGGAACAGATATTCGAACCCGCACCCGAACACGTCGCGACCTGTTCCGTAACTGACTGAACGTTGCAATGATTGAGATTCTCGAAATCCGAAAATCGAAATGCAGCGAGTGCGACTCCTCCAATCACAACGACTCGTTCCTCGTTACAAAGGAGAGCGATTCAAGCCGTGGAAAATATTCGAAATATTGCCGATATTTCAAATACTACTGATTTTGCCACGACAAGCACTCTCTCGGTGCGTATTCGGTGAGGTATTTGCTTTCAAATTGCGTGTAATTACCTGATATGCTGATAAAAGCACAGCTCTTTGAAAATACTATCATTAGTTGCGTGTATGTACAGTGCGGAACGTAGAAATAACGCTGCAGTGTTGAATATTGAAAATAAGCACACCACCAACTCCGATCGCTACCGCCATCAAGCGGCCGCACAAGCAAGCCGTTGCCTTCTTATGTCATATGTTCATCGGATCGTTGTGCGAACGGGCCGAGTCGGTTCTTCGTCACTCGTGCTGCTCCATGAGGTGGCTGGCTGCGTGAAAGTCGCGCAGTGTATCGTCGAACCTGTGAGAGTTCGTTGCGCGAGTTTGCCCGGACGACGAGGAGCGCAGCAGTCCGCCCCCGTTCCACCGTTGTCGCCCGTTCGTGCGCTTTTTCGCTGCTAATTATCGCACGACGTGACATAACCTCGTTCGCAAAAGGTAAGCGACTTCTGGCACCATCCTGCACCGTCTAACCCCGCGCTACGTCAATTCTCCGTTTCGTTTGCGCGATTTTTGTCGCGGGCTCATTTCGCGCAGCCTTGAGGAAACCTCTCCGCGGCTCGTATGCCCGTCGAACGAATCTCCCTGTCGCAGATTAATCAACGAGAGCGAGAATAATCAACCATATTGACAGTCGCCTTACTCATCTGCGACCTCGCATTGTTATCTTCCCCGACTTTCACGCGTTTTTTTTTAACGAGTCCCTTTCTCCTCTTCTTTTAACGCGGGGCTCTACGGAGAAAGTTCACGGACTCTGATCTTATAAATCTACTCGTAAGACACTTTTTTTTTATTAATTCACTAATTTTCGTAATCTAAGGTCTTTTTCTTTTTCGCTGAACTAGCCGCACTAACTTGTTCCAGAATTCTCTTCTCTTCCTTCTCCCACCAAGTTGTAACTATGTATATCTACCTCTTTTTAAGTTCCATAAGTGTGCGTTAATTCAGCGAGGAATAACACACCTCTAGTTTAATCGTAGAAAAAACATTTGTTATTGGTTGCATTGTTTGGATTTTTGAGTCATGATCACTGAGATTTCGCTTATACTTGGACCGCCTTGTGGAACGTGTGCGATTTGTCTATAATTAAAGGATCGATTAACACCAATCGTGACTTAACCGAACTCTCTCTCCCCCCCCCCCCCCCCCC